ACACACACACACACACACACACCCCTCTACTACCCCCTACCCCCCCAACCTCTCTCTCTCTCTCTTTAATTCCTACCGATACTCACCCCCCTAACCCCCCCTATCCATCACACTTCCACTCACCTCCGTAGCATCGCAGACAGCCCTGAAGATGGCGTTGACGGGTCCTGTGCCCACGGAACATCTGACAATGTTGGCGCCATCCGGGCCTGTGAGTGTGGCTGTGGCGGTGGGTTGGATGGTGGTGCCTGTAAACACCTGCACGTGCTGCAGTGCGAAGGTGATGGGTGGCTGGTGCAGTTGGTCGTTCATGATGGCGTGCAGATCACTGTCGGTGATGCTCTTGCCCGTGTCAGCAAGCTAAGCGGATATGACATGACATGACATGACACGACACGACATGGCAGTGGGAAGAAGTGGAGTGGTGGTATGAGTATACGAGCGATTGTATAATGGCACCAGACATTCCACAGCACCATGACTCTGAAAGTGAATGCGGCATTGCAATGGATACCACACACTGCGTGGCTGCTGCTGTGAGGAGCATGCATGCAACCCCCAAATGGTTCGTGCACAGCTGTTGCATAGACAGACAGTGGGTCACCCACCACGGCTGTAGTTCTACAATCGCAACCATGATATGCAGGTGGGTTGATAGTCTTTGCATGCACTGTGATGTTAGCTATACACATGGACATAGTTTACGTTGTACTGGCTAACTGAGTACACAACCTCCATACACGCGCACACATGTGCGAATATACATTTACATGCCGATACTTGCAATAATGCACAAATTCATACGTCGATATTTGTATATGAGCACACGCATAAAAACCAATATATATATATATATGTGTGTGTGTGTGTGTGTGTGTGTGTATGTATATATATCTATATATATATATATATATACCTAAAACATGGGGAAAATAACTATAGTGTGAGTTTGTGCTTTGCATATACGCACGCAACACACGCCCGCACACACCGTTTTAAATCTCTCGAATGCAGCCTGTATGACATCGGCAGCCAACTCTTCATAGCCTAGTTCGCCTAGACGTGACTTGAAGGCGGCACGGCCCGAGTGCTTGCCCATGACAAGCGAAGTCTGCACTCCCACTAGCGCTGGGCTGATGATTTCGTACGTGCCTGCGTTCTTGAGCATACCTGGCGTGTTTCACAGGTGTATTGGAGGATCAGAACCTTTGGTGTAGTCGACGTGGTGTGTTTGTGCTATAACCATCTCAGACAAATAACGAGCATGCAGCGTAGTACCAATGAGGGTTTGCAAGAGGGCGTGTGAACAGATACACAACTGTTCTTAGTGGGAGAAGGTACGTAGGTGGTTCCCTGGGGGTGAGTGCATGCATAGAAGCAAACTATATACTTGAGTGTATTTCGTGCCAGTAAGTTTGCATTGGCGAGTGTAGATCAGTTGACATATGACTACAACTACAAACAGTGCTTAGCATGCTGTCAAAACGCCTGTACTCCCACCACCATATCCAACCCCATTAGCAGGTGACCTACTACAGATATGTTGCATGTCTTCTACTACAGATACGTTGCATGCATCCCACTGCAGATGGGTGTTGAATGCATTGGTGTTGTTACACATTGTAATTCAGAATACAGGCATAGCATATGCACACACTGCTGAATGTGAGAGTACGTATCCATGTGTCTATATCCACTAAGTCTGTCGCTCGCTCACCCATATACACATACATTCATCCATATATACACAAAACATCCCCCCATGCCCTGCCCTCTACCTCTTAACACACACCCTGCCTTCTACCTCTTAACACACACCCTGCCTTCTACCTCTTAACACACACCCTGCCTTCGACCTCTTAACACACACCCTGCCCTCTACCTCTTAACACACACTCAGCCTTCTACCTCTTAACACACACCCTGCCCTCTACCTCTTAACACACACCCTGCCCTCTACCTCTAACACACACCCAGCCTTCTACCTCTTAACACACACCCTGCCCTCTACCTACCATCCTGGTGAATGCCTGATTCGTGCGCAAATGCGTTTGCGCCCACAATGGCCTTGTTGCTCTGTACGCGCATGCCGCTGAGGTGCATGACCATCTCACTTGTGCGCATGATCTGTGGTGTGTCGATGTCTGTGATCACAGGGAAGCTGCCCTTGCGGCATGTGATAGCCATCACAACCTCCTCTAGTGCCGTGTTGCCTGCACGCTCGCCAATACCGTTGATGGTCACCTGTGTGTCAGAGGATGTGTGCGTGTGTCAGAGGGTGTGTGTGTGTGTGTCAGAGGGAATGAGATATATGTAGAACGTAGGAATGTATCTATATGTTTACAGACAGGCATATACAGATACATGCTTAAATGCATCTACAGAGTGTAGAAATGTATGTATAGGTATATCAACAGTCATATATAGATACATGCTGAAATACATCTACATGACCTTGCATGCATCGCTGACCCTACCACCCCCTCCCCATTTGCATACATTTAGTCATATCTATTGATATTTCCATGTAGACGCACGCAAACGCAATGGCCACATGTGTGTGCATATACAAGCATGCACGCTACCCGTTGCACTCGTGAGGCCTACCTCCACCTGCCTGGCCCCATTCACCACACCCGACAGTGTGTTGGCTGTGGCTAGTCCTAGATCATTGTGGCAGTGTGTGGAGAAGACTGCCTTGTCAGCATTGGGTGTGTTGGTGACTATGTACTTCACCAGTGCGCCGTATTCCTCTGGTGTGGTGTAGCCTACTGTATCAGGGATGTTGATGGTTGTGGCACCTGCGGCTATGGCCACCCCGATAACCTTCACCAGAAAGTCCTATGTGTGTGGGGGAAGTTTCAACAGTGAACTCAGTATGGGCTCCATGTTCTCGGATGAGACATGCTTGCCTATACATGGACTGGTACGTATCTGTGTGCAATGTACGTGTGTGTGATACGTGCGTGCACTGGAGTGTTTATGCGTGTGTTGCCAGCAGACAGACATGTATAATGCGTGAGTATGTAACTGTGTACCCCGCGGCACTACTGACGTGTCGTGTTCATTATTTTTGTATCTGTTTATTAAATTATATGAAACTGTATATATATCGAGGACCGTGAATGAGTGTGTGCATGTGTATTGTGGGCATGTATGTGCGTATACATGTGCGAATGTATGTGTAACTTTATATGTCCGTGCCTCCACATGTGAGTGAGGATGTCCATGTGTACGTGTGAGTGAGCGTGATTGTGTATATGGCCGTATTATGTCTGTGCGTTCACGTGCGTGTGTGGATGTGTGTCCATGTGTACGTGTGAGTGTGAGTGATTGTATTCGCATGGCCGTAGTATGTATGTGCGTTCACATGCTTGTGTGGATGTGTGTCCATGTGTACGTGTGAGTGTGTCTGGGTGTGTATGTGTTGTATATGGCCGTAGTATGTCTGTGTGTCCATGTGTACGTGCGTGTGTGTGTGGATGTGTCTGTATATGGGCGTAGTATATCTGTACTCCACATGTGCGTGTGCGTGTGCGTGTGCTTGAGTGGAAGCAATACTATAGCAAAAGATAAATGCACAGAGTCCAACGAAGTGAAGACACGTAAGCGAGGCATCCCCCTGCACACAGACCACACTACAAGAAACAACACACACGCACTTCGGAACTCATTGAGGACTTTGCAAGTTAGGATGTGCAAGCGTGTAGGATATCGAATGCCCATACGCCACAGTAACCGCATACCGATGCCACCTACAGGCACAAGCGCACACATAGACACACTCCCTTACCTTATCACTGCATGCACAAGTGCATACATAGACACACTCCCTTACCTTATCACTACGCCCAGCATCCTCTGTACTGAATTCGATGTCTGTGCACTTTGACTTGGCATAGGTCACCATCTCATGCACCTTGGCCACACACTGTTCGCGTGTGATGCGTAGCTTGTGCTCCAGATGGATGTCTGAGGTGGCCAGGAAGGTGTGTATGCGGTGTAGCGGTGCGTGCTGTATTGCTTCGTAGCAGCGGTCTATGTCCTTCTTAATGGCCCGTGCAAGCCCACAGATGACCATTGGCTTGCCGCTCTTGCGCCCAGTCGTCAGATGACCTACCTGCACCGGTTACAAAAGGAGGGTGTAAGCATAAACCACCACACCACCTACTTAACTAACCAATGGCTAAGCCCCTGAAACAGCCTAGAGTGCGCAAAACATCTTCTGTGATCAACCAACAGGCAGGTACCGTATGCAATGCACATTTAAGCGGAAGCGTGTGCTATTGCGAGTACATACCTCTTTAGCGATGCGCTCAACGCCTGCAAAGTCGCCATCGGATGCGATGGGGAAGCCAGCCTCACACACCGTCACTCCCAAACGCGACAGCTGCTTGGCTATCTGGACCTTGTCATCACTGGTCAGGGTTACACCCGGCGACTGGTAGGTAAGGATTGTGGGACGTCGTTATGAGGGTAGGTGTAGGAGCATGTACAAGGCTATGAGGAAAGGATGGGCGAGAGGGGGATGTGTGTATGGCTGTGCAAGGTGCCCGCACGGTGACTGACTGATACTAGTGATGTGTGTCTGGTGAGGTCATGCGGCAGTAACAATCGTAGTGTATCCTATTATATGACATAACTTTAATATACACGCTGCACTTGACTCTTGTGAAATGGGTCATGCGATGGTGTAACAGTGTGTCAACTCGTGCGATGCAGAGGACTATGATAGAAGAAGTGACGAAATGATATTGAGAAACTAGTAGTCTACATCAGCACCACGCCGACCCATTGGAATGGAAGTGCATATCAAGCATATATTGAATGTCCATCTGAAGATATGTTCATGGATCAACTGAAAGGTTTGCTCAAACTGATGCATGTGGAACAAAAACAGGCACGTTCGCAATTTGTCGCAGTTTGTCTGACTGTACTATCTATGAGCAAGTACATCGATACATCTGCATGTGTATGAGTGATTCAGTGGTGAATATAGTGCAGACGTTTTAATTTTCAAAAATGTGCTTGTACTAAAGAATGGGCAAGGCCACGATTCTAGATATCATCCAGGACATGGACGCCCTTGCTCATCGGAATACATCAACCAAAATAGAGCTTATGCACTAAATTAATAAGCCCTTCTTCGCATCCTTCCGATGAGTTCATGATTGTGGTAGACAACTCGACCCCAAAGCAAGATTCGCTTACCTGTTCACCATCGCGTAAAGTGGTGTCGAAGATCACTAGTGTTTCTTTCTCTCCAGTCGTCATAGTCAATTGTAATCGTTTCACCGTGGTAAGATTTGACAGATGAGAAATGATACGAAACAACTACTACCGGCAGAAAAGTGCTACTCTGTTTATGGACAAGCCTTGATTATCCAAGTATCCTTTTATACATTTATTAGTGTATTGTCCGACAAGGATTGTGCAGATATTTCTTTTATTATGTCTTCACAGACTGCCACTAAAATCATAGTCCCCATTTTACACAGTCAGTCTCCGTCACTCCATAGTCCATTCCAGCGGAATGCAGAATATTTGTGCCATCTGATCACAGCGACATAGCCTCCCCTAAAACGAACAATATGATTTTAGTGTCCATTTGTCCTCCTGAAAGTGGACAAGTGACATCCCACGGTCACGGAGACTGACATCATCACATGATTCTGACACAGCGCCAAAGCGCCACACGTCACGCAGAAATATTTTTCTGGTTGAAAAAGCTATTTCAGAAGACTATGGAATTCTACAAACCCTAAAAAGAAAAAGCCAAAGTCGGAAAGTCGGCAGACATCCTCATCCAAATTTGGGACATGGGACTTGGGAGTTGGGACTTCGGACTGAGTCAGAGGCCTCGGAGCCGGAGGCACAGCATTTTCTGATTTTCAGTTTCCTCTCTTTGTTTGTGTGCTGGGCGCTCGCCAAACAAGAGAAACCGAAAAGACCGAAGGGATTTTTTCATTGGCTGATAGGTGCCACAGGCGCCGTTTTGGCGGGGGTTCTCAGTTCTGTTGACAAACATTGCTGCAAACAACGTTATTTACAATTTATATATATGAGTATGTCTGAATCCTGTGAAAATATATTCTTTTCTCAGCAGTAGGGTCGATATATATAAATATATAATTATATATAAATATATATAAA